GTTTTTCTCCGGTACCGGGAACCGAACTCACGACCTTGCGCTTGCCAGGCAGGCGCTTTTGCCGCTGAGCTAAATCCCCAGCCCCTATAAAAAATATCTTGTATATAAATGTTCATAGTAGCATTGTTTGTAACACCCTAAAAGTGGAAACAATCCAAATGTTCATTGACAGATAAGTGGATAAATAAAATATGGTATATAATAAAATATTACTTGGAATAAAAAGGAACGAAGAATTCTTACGTGCTGTACACACATGAATGTTGCAAACATTACTAAGTAAAATAAGCCAATCACAAAAGATCATAGTGTATGATTCCATTTATATGAAATGTTTAGAATAGACAGAAAGATTAATGATTGTGTAAGGTTCTGTGTAGAATGGAGAGTGGCATATGGGGCTGCTTTTCAGATTAACAAAAATACAATATTCTAAAGTTAGATTGCAATGTTAGTTAACAGCTCTATGAATATACGCATTCATTCAGCCTTTTTTTTTTTTTATTTTGAGGCAGGATTTTGCTAAGTTGCCCAAGCTGGGCCCAAACTTGTGATCCTCTTGCCTCAGCCTCCCACAGTGCTCGGATTACAGGCATGTGCCACTATGCCCAACTTTGATTTTTTTAAGCAAGTAAAACACTGAAAGCTCTTATTTTCCAGAGGCTAAGATTAGTGTAATGTACATGCTTTTAACTTTTATCTCTAAAGAACAGTTTACTTTTTAAATTTATATGCTTTGATTATCCCCTTTGAATTATAAGACAAGTCTTATTGTTTAGCCCAAGAGAAGGTTTATTTAAGAATTTCTTCTCATGTGCTGAGGCACAGTCATTAAGATGTTTGCCCAAACAGAACCTCTGGTGAAACATTTTATTCGTCATGAAGTGATCTTTATCAATAATGTGGATTAAACAACAAATTACTTTTCTGGATGTTCGCAGTAAACTGTATTCTTGTTTAAATGTTAAACTTCCGCTCCTAAAGTTTAATTTTAAATTATTTGAACGTTCAGTATATATTTGAAGTACAATAAAACAATCCATTTAATATTTTTTAAATGTTTAAGTATAAAAGTTTTGTAGCATAAGTAGCTAGACTGATTTATCATATAACATTGATTCGCTTGTGTCACTCCCCCATTTTAAATTAGATTTAAAGTGCCATTAGATTGTAAGTTTTAGGTTCATGGCACAAGAACTCCTGGGGAATGTGCCCACAGATAGATAGGTAACTTTCTAATA